TACTGATGCCTGTCTGGAGACGGTTGTGTAATGATGTGGTTATGTTGTTTTTGTAAAAAGAAGAAAATTAAAAAATCATTTTTTTAAAATCAGGATTATTTTTTTCCTTTTTTGGCACAATTCCCATCAATTTTCGATGGACGTGTGTTTATCCTTTTGTGATACAGTGATAGTGTATTTATCATACAGCCCTACCTTGTTTGTACATCACAGCTGTTATGCATTCGCAAGTTGGCGTGAGTGTGTGTGTGCGTGCGTGTAAAATAAATTCAGATGTTTATTAAACCCTTTTCAGACATGTGATATGTAATATTGCTGGCTTCAATAATACATGGATGTTTCTAGGTTTGACCTAGACAGATTTCCACATTTTTATTTTTTGTCTTTTAAGGACGAGTGATCAGGATGCTGATACGTTGTTGCCGTTAGTTTAATGAAGAAGAGCGCATGTCTGAAAGAGGCTTTAGACGCCTGAGTTCATGGACCTAACCTCACAAGCCTCCTTTCTGTATCCAAGCCCTTAAAAGTTTTTTTCTTCTTGTTGTTGTTTTGTTTTTTGATGAAACTTTATTGAAAATAATTTGAGAGTTTCAGGTTCTCGTCATTTTTAAAAAGATGCTCAGTGAAAGTTTGTTGCAGATGAAAGCGTTTTAAGATTAAATGTCACACTTTGATTCTCCTTGCTTGTAACGTTTTTGTTTTTCTAGTTTTCCTTTTAGACTTGTGATAAATTCTAGAATTAAATGTGTGGTCGTGATTCAAATGTCTTTCTAGTTTTGTGGATGTTTTTAAAACATTTTATGCGCCGCGCGGTGGCACAGAAACTCGGGCTGCGGGTATAAAACTGCACAATGCACATGCGCATTGTTTTTGTCAGATTTTTAAAGATTTAAAGATTTTATTTTGCAAATAAAATTGCACCAACAGTTACTGGACATGGCAGTGAAAATGTCCCGTCCTTGTGGCTCTCAGAAATGAAGCGGTATGAGGCCTGATTATTATTAAAGAAGTTTATGAATGGAAATTAATACAGATATGTGGTCAGCAAAATTATGTCATAAAAGAAGCTCTGACACCTGGCTAAAATGCATTTCCCAACTTCTTGTTAGGTGAAACCTGTCGACCTGAGCAATCAGGTTTTCAGAGCAGTATTGTACGCTTTGCAATCATTTTAGCAACCACCAACTAGTAGGACACTCAGGTCTGAGTAACTGGGTCCTTCACTAGCAAACAGAACAGTTTTACTGTTGAAATTAATTATTTTTACAGGAGAAAATCAAAGTTTTTGGCTGTTTTATTATTGACTGGATTCATACATATAACCTAAATGGATAGTGGTATAAATCAGCGGTCCCCAACCCCCGGGCCTCGGACCGGTACCGGTCCGTGAGAGTTGAGGTTCAGGTATGAAATGTATAGTTTTCAGGGATTTTATCGTTTTCAGCGTTATTTTGTTATCGTTTTTATCGTTTACTCGGTTTTCCTTGGTCTTTTCACGTGTGTTATGAATAAATTTTCTTTTTTTTGGTACC